GTCGGGCCTCCACTGCAACCCCATGGAGTGCACCGCGGCGAAGGGGCCGGGGGAGAAGGCGAAGGCGGGCACCGGGGGCCCCTCGCTGCGGCCGGGCCGGCCTCCGCTGACCACCTTCCAGGGGCTCTTGTCGGCTGCGGAGACAGGAGGGGGGCGGAAGGGGCGTGAGCGGGTCACAGTCCAGGGGGGACAGGTGGGGCCTGGCGGGCTGCACACATCTCCAGAGTGTCCCCACCAGCACAGCAGGTGACCTCTCAGTGATCCCGGGCAGTCCACTGGTCCTCCCCTCACCGGTCACCCCTGCTCCTGGTTCAGTGACACCCCAACACTCAGATCACAAACAGGGGAGTGAATTTCCCAACAAGAGACACACACACATTCTGGACACTTCCCGGGCCTCTTCAGAACCACAGGGAGGGGCGATCATGGGGGCCTGGGGTGCGCCACCATCTCCAGGGACAGAAGCAGAGGGCTGGTCCCAGGTGAGGGCTGCTGCGGCAGTCTGTCCCTCGGCCCCAGCTCCGGGCTCCCCATCAACGTTCGGTCACATCCAGCGTGTAGGACCTGCGTCTGAGGACCGAGCCTCCCCTCCCCTGGGCAAGGCTCCGGGGAGCGTTCAGGTGCCAGCCCCCCACCAAGGGCAGCACCCCCATCACAATCCCCATATGCTAAGGTGGCCCACTGCCGGGTCAGGGGCTGAGCACTCCACAGTGTGGACACCCCTCCCAGCATCCCCCAGCTGCCTGCAGGGTGGACACCACAGGACGTAGTCCCCAGCCACAGGCATCTCCTAACTGAGGTGCGCTGCCAACAGGGCCAGGTGCAGCGGGCAGTTCACCAGGACACCCCTGCGTCTTTCCAGAACAATGTGGCAGTTAGTTCCCCAAGGCTGCCAGCAGAGGCAACTGTCACACTTAGAGGGACTCTAGGCAGAAGGAACAGGAGCCCCCTCCCAAGCACACGGCTGGGCCCTGACCAGCAGGTAGACCCCACACAGACCAACAGATTGCCCTGCAACCACTGACCAGCACAGGGAGGGGACAGCTCCTGAGGGATTCCAGCCACCCTAAGGCACAAGACAGACACACCGTCTGGATGAGGCTATGAAGGTCAAGCTTAGGGTCAAATCTAAGGAGCGGACCCCACCTGTGACCCCGAGGCCCAGAGGCACAGCCCTGGCTGGGCCAGGCCCCTTACACACTCACCATGGAGTTCAAACGGGAATATGCCACCGCTTCTGTTCAGTTTCTCGGTGGGACACTGCAAGTGACAGAAAGAGGGCTCAGCACCCCAGACCACACAGGGAAACGAGGAAGATGGCCCCCCAGGCCACACACAACATGTTCCCTTACCTAAAACCCAAGTGGAAATGAAACGGCTGCCGCAGAGCGAGAGCCATCATCCCTCCTTCCCACCCTCACAGACCTCACCCCCACCCGCACCCCCTACACCCCACACACACTCCCCACCCCCCAGCCCGCTCTGCCAAGGCAGCTCCATGCTCTGGGTCAAGGACCCCAGTGCAGGACTTTTCAGGGAGTCCCGGGCTGGGAATGGCCTGCAGCCTATTTGGGGTGGTGGGTGCCAGGCTGTGACTACAAAGAGCAGACCCCTCCCCAGCAGACCCCTCCCCAGCAGACCCCTCCTGGTCCCACTCTCACACCTGAGAGCTCAGCCTGCACAAAATAAACGTACTGTCTGAAAAGACCCAGCCTCCACACTAAGGCTGCCTGACTCAGGGGTCAGGGCGGAAGGAGCGGCCCAGCAGGCTGATGGACAGATTCGGTCAGCTCAGGCCCAGTGCCCGGTAGCCCCTGCTCCCAGGCAGTCCCCGACACTGCCTCCCTCTCCTGTCCCAAGCACACGGATCCTGCAAGGCCTCTTTGAGCCAATGCTTGGGCCTCCTGTCCTGATCCTTCACCACACAACCATGGGGCTTATCTGCCAACTTCTTTTCTTGTTTTTAACAGAAATTTCTTCTGTTATGTTCTTGTTGTTGTTGTTGCTGTATACCATGTTGTTGTGATGTGCCGTCGTCGAGTGGCTTGCGACTCATAGCGACCCTACGACCCTACATACAACAGCTCAGTGCTGTCGTATACCACGGAGTCGTAATTAACCCACCGCTGGCCCTGAGGTGGGTGTCCAGAGGCAGTAAACTGCATGGGAGGAGAGTGTCCAGCCTTCTGTAAGACCTCTCTACCACAGAACCTTCCTCAGCGACATGAAGGAGTGAACCGCGCCAACACACAACGACCAGGACGGGGCCCCTGGAGAACGGTGCTGGCTGACCTGACGTCCGGGAATAAGAGCGGCCACAGGGCCCCTTAGAGGCGGGGAAACTCCATCTCGCATATTTAGGGCATGTTGTCGGGGGGCCAGTCCTTGGAGAGAATTCATGACGCGGGAAAGGTAGAGAGACGAAGACTGACCCTCAGCAGACGGACTCAACAGTGACCACCCCAACGAGCCGGCCTGTGTCAGAGACGGGGAGAAGGGTGCGGACAGGGCGAGGTTCAGGGCTGCGCTCATGGGTGGTGGCCAGTCACAGTGGACCTGACAGCACCTAACAAGAACAAAGAGAACGCACTGCAAGACTCCACCAAGGAACAACCTTGGTGTGAATGAGGAGAAACGGAGCACTGCTCATAAAAGGAAAACTCAGCTGAGGGAAATGTTCCCAAATGTTCTTGACCAGCAGTGCACATTCCCTCCTTGTGATCCTGGCCTGTAGTTTGTAGATACTACTGAAAAGTCCTGAACTTTTTTATTTTGGTGAGAAAAATTTACATTTAGAATTAGCCCGCTGGACTCAGTTTGTTGTTGTTGTTGTTATGAGCCGTCGAGTCATTTGCGACTCATAGCGACCCTATGCACAACAGCCCTAAACCCTGCTCTATCCTGTGCCAACCTCACTGCCTCTGACACTCCCATCCAGATTACCCCGGTCACTGAATCAATCCACCTCATAGAAGGTCTTCACCTCCTGAGCTGTCCCTCCACCCTCCCAAGCATGATGTCCCTCTCCAAGGACCCATCCCCCCTGGCAACATATCCAAAGTATGTCAGACGAAGCCCCAGAATCCTTGCCTCCAAGGAGTAGCCTGGTTTAACCCTCTCCAAGATGAATCTGTTTGTTTTCCTGGCAGTCCATGGTACATTCAGTACCCTTCTCCAGCACCACAGCTCAAAAGCATCCACTGGCAACATCCAAAGCATCACAGTCAGAGCAAGTTGAACATAGGCCTTCTTCTCTCCAACAGGCCTAATCAAAGTATTGACCTTGGCCACATAAATGTCATAGAGCTTCTTTACAGCTTGTTTGATTTGGTGCTCGTTGGCCTTGACATCCACAGTGAACACAAGTGTGTTGTTATCTTCTATCTTCTTCATAGCTGACTCGGTGATCAGGGGAAATTTGATGATGGCATAGTGGTCAAGCTTGTTTCTCCCGGGGGTGCTCTTCCGGGGGTATTTGGGCTGCCGTCGGAGTGTCAGCGTGTTAGGCCGCCAGAAGGTGGGTGACGTGCAGGTCTTTTTTTTTTTTTTACCATGGACCCCCTTCAGGGCTGCTTTCTTGGCCTTTGATGCCTTTGCTTTGGCTTCAGTTTTGGGAGGGGCAGGAGCTTCCTTCTTCACTTTCTGCACCATCTTCATAGAAAGGAGTCTTGAACTCTTGAAGATGCCACCACTTGTCTTTCATTTTTTGTACTGTGGTGGTTCACTTGCATATGACTGATGCTGGACACTACACCACTGAATTGCAAATATCAGCAGTCACCTACGTGGACAGATTATGGCAGATTGTACTCTAAGAGACATGAAGCAGGAGGCAAAACCACCCGGCCAGTTCTGAAATAACAGGCCTCCAGAAATCCTACAGATACTATCTAAAGCAGGCCCAGCAGATGAGGCCCTCCGGTCGGAAGGCATTCAAAACTGTCTGGGTAAGACCTGCCTCCTCAAAGCACAAACTGCCTCAAAGTGATGATGTAGATGAAGTGAAGGACCTTCTCTATGTTGATGTGACAAGACGCAAAATGAGGAGAAACTACTACAAACATCACTTGGTGACTGCAACATGAAATGTACAAAGTATGAACCTAGAAAAATTAGAAGTTGTCAAAATGAAATGGCTTTAGTGAGCTAAAATGGACTGATACAGACCATTTGCATCAGAAGGTCATATGGTCTACTGTGCCAGCAATAACAAAATGAAGAGGGGAAACTTTTATTCATCCTCAAAAAGAATTGAAAAAATTTCCTCAAGTACAAGATTGTCAGTGACAGGATAAATTTACACACACGGAGGAGACGTGTGCTGTATTAGCCTAAAAGATGGCTCTATCTAGCCATTACAGTCAGTCTCTTTTGGCCTCCTGCAACCTTAACTGTGGACACATGGTCTTTTAAATCACTAACAGCTGTAGGACTAGGATAAGAGAAAGAGTGCTTCCCCCACTGGGCAGCAAGACTTGTGGTGCTAAGACATGACAGAAACTGGAGCAAGACCCTGAGGATGGTGGTGGAGAGACTGTGGCACTGCTGTGGAGAAACTGTGGCAAGCTGTGAAACCGAGACGTCTTGCATTTGCGTTGGCCACAGTTTAAGGTTTCTGTTGTTCTTCCCAGAAGCTTGAAGGAGAAGCCGACTTATAATTGCTCTGAGGCAAACCTTGCTGGATGATTTGGATTATTGTGAACTGAAACCAAATCCTGGACTAATTGAGGAATTGTGCCTTGGAACTTGTGCTAAAACCTGGGTTCATTTCATGTGATATTCTTTGTGTCCCCCACTCTCCAACTTCCTTCCCTAATGACCCCCATTCTCAGTACCACCCCTGTGAGTCTGTGAGTCAACGGTGAAGAAGCTCAAGAGGCCCCGTGGGGCTGGGCTGTGGGCTCTCTCCCTGCTTTCTGCTCTGGGGCCGTGAGGGGCTGTGCTATTCTCACTCCCTCTGGCCCTTTCAGGGAGATGTTCATGGCCCTGTGTCTCTATGACCCCATTTCTCCTTATCAGACCACCTGCTAATACAACTATAATCCAATTTATTCACCAACTACTAAACCAAAGTCGAAAAAACTGACAATTTCTACCAACTTCCTACTGTCCATCATGACAAACGGAGAAGACTGAAGTCGTCAACGATTTCATTTTACTTGGTTCCACAATCAACACTGATGGAAACAGCAGTCAGGAAATCAAATGCATGACGCACTGCATTGTAAAAACTTGGTGCCAAAGACCTTTTTAAAGAGCTAAAGAGAAAAAAGACCAAGCAGCACTGCAGAGTGGACAGGGAGGGGGAAGAGAGGAGGAGGGAGTAATGCACAACAAGGAACTGATGAAAACTTAGCCTTTCTGTAAACGTTCGTTAAAATCACAATTTAAAAAAAATCATTAACCAAATATGTTAATAAAGACTAAGGTACACCTGACTCAAACTACAGTATTCCAAGCACTCCACATGCGTGTCAAAGTTAAACAATGAAGAAGAAACGAAAAAAGGTTGATGCCTTGAACTGGGTTTCTGCTGAAGGATACTGAATATGCCGGGGGATGCTGGAAGAACAGGGCACTCTGGTGGCTTACAGCTAACAAAGTGCACTGCCAACACAAAGGGATGCAGTTCGAATCCACCAGCTGCTCCCTGGGAGAAAGATGGGCAATCTTCCCCCTTGCATCTTCAGCCTCTGAAAAGCTGCTCGCGAGTCAGCTATCGGCTGTGCCGACTCAACGGCACACAATAAAAACAGCCAGCAAACAAACACGTCAGCCTTGCAGGACGTGCAAGCAGAGCGCTCTGTGGAGCCAGGACTGTGAGACTTCTTTCATCCACTGGACGTGTTATTAGGAAGGTCGGTTCTTGGAGGACATCAGAGTTGGTGAGGTAGAGAGAGGGTCAGTGACTAAGAAGACCCTCAGCACGATGGATGGGCCCAGTGGTCACTCAAGCCACTCAGCACAGAAACACTGTGACAATGACACGGGATCAAAAACAGTGTCATCAGAGAGCTACGGTGGCCTTGTGGCAAGAAGCTGCACTGTAATCCCAGGGGTTATGGTTCAAATCCACCAGATGCTCTGCTGGAGAAGGAGGGACAATCTCCTCCTGTACCAGTCAGATCTGATTTGACTGTACATGCACACACAAAAAAGAAAAGAAAAAAAGGAAGAGTGTCACTGCTGTATACAGATTCATGCTGAGTGGGAAACAACCCAGCCACAGCATCTAATGACAACTTCCACATGCGCCCATCAGAGATTTTAACAGGCCTTTAGCAGGAGCTCAATAGAGAAAGAAATGAATGAGGATTTGGGTCTTTATTAAGAGATTATAACTAGCAGATACAGAACTTTGTATCTAAAATTTGTATTTATTCAAGAATAGGAAAATGTACCAAATGGGACCAACTAATAGCACCTCAAAATAAGTTCTGCAAACGTTCTAAGAATGGATCTCAATACCTTTAATGCAGTCAGGAAACCAATGCTTAACAGAAATCTGACACTTGATGGGAACTCTTGTGCTTGAGAAAGTGATACAGAAAATACCAACTATTTAGAAGTTCCCAGTGCGATGCAGGCAGGTCCATCTGCTGTCTGACGTAATGCTACTGTTGGGACGTGCCATGGACTTGACTCCAGCTCACAGGCTCCCAGTACAGTGCAGGGAGCCACTTCCCAGTCCTGGGTCACCCTCACAAATGTTGCTGAGGTGACCCCTCTCGGGTTTGAGGATCTTGCTCTTTTCACCTGACCCTATGAGGCGAGCATGCAGGGCCTCCCCAGCAAATCACGCACACCTATCACAGGCCTATCCTGGACACCCCCAGCCTATCACGCACACCTATCACAGGCCTATCCTGGAC